CTTCAGCTTGCATACCAATTCTTCCTTTCCTGCAGCTTTGAACCCCATAGGTTGTGTCATGTAGATCTCCTCTTCTAAATCTCCATGTAGAAAGGCTGTTTTAACATCCATCTGGACCAAATCCAAATCCAGCTGTACCACTAATGCCAATAAAATACGAATCGACGAATGCTTCACAACAGGTGAAAATACCTCGTTGTAATCAACGCCCTCTAGCTGTGCATATCCCTTGGCAACCAATCTGGCTTTGAATCTAATTTCCCTAATAGAAGATCCCTCTTTCTTTGCATACACCCACTTGCATCCAATAACCTTCTTACCCTTCGGTAGCTTTGCAAGTTTCCAAGTATCGTTCTTATGAAGAGACTGCATCTCCTCCTCCATGGCTTCCCTCCACCTAATCGAATCAGAGCTTGACTCTGCTTCCTTGAATGTAAAAGGAACCAAATCATCAACGACTTCTGCTGATAAAGCATATACAACCATGACATCATTATATCTAGCTGGCCGACGAATGTTTCTTCTTAGTCTATTAGCTGCAATGGACTCCTGAACATGACCCTGTTCCTGAGTCCCAACATCCACTGTATCCTCTAAATGCCCGGCTGTCATCTCATCTCCTCCCAGTGTCACCTCTGTAGGAGCCTCAATGGCCCCTGTATCACAGTGCACGACAACCTATTCACGAGATGGCTCGCATAAACCAACGCTTCGGCCCAAAAGGATCTTGACAATCCACTCTGCGTCATCATACATCGCACCTTCTCCAGCAAGGTACGGTTCAACCTTTCAGCCACCCCGTTCTGTTGCGGTGTCTCACGTATTGTGAAGTGTCGTCTAATGCCGTGATCTCGGCAAAACTGTAGAAACGGATCACTCTTATACTCTCCACCATTATCAGAACGTAGAGTCTTTACCTTTCTACCTGTCTGCAGCTCCACTTTCTTCTTCCACTCCACAAAAATATCCAGGACCTGATGTTTATGCTTCATCGGGTATACCCAATTTCTCCTGGAATAGTCATCAATGAAAGTGACAAAATAGTTGGCCCCACCAAGTGATGTGTGCTTGGAAGGGCCCCAAACGTCTGTGTGAATATAATCCAATGTACCTAGGGTGTTATGAACAGCGGTGCCAAACTTCACTCTAGTCTTCTTCCCAAGTACACAATGCTCACACAACTCCATCTTGCAGGTCTTAGCACCTTTCAATAGCCCCTGTTTAGCCAATGACTGTAGGGACTTATCTCCTGTGTGTCCAAGTCTCATGTGCCATAAGGTGGTAGTGTCCTCCTCTGTAGTGATAGAAGCTGCCAGACCCCCTGTAACTGTCTTGCCCTTCAAGTTTATTTTCCCTGACACCTCGCATCACCACCATGGACCCCTTTGTGACCTTCAGAGTCGCATTCTCTAAGATCACCTTATAGCCAGCTGCCTCCAAAGTTCCAAGCGAAATGATATTCTTCGTCAATTGAGGAACGAATCTCACTTCCTTCAGCTCCCGAGTCACCCCGTCACACATCTGGATCCGTACTGTACTAATACCACCAATAGGGCATACATGATCATTACCCATGAGCACGACATCCCCTCTTTCCAACTCCTTAAAGCTGGAGAACCAATCCATCCTAGGGCAAATATGGTATGTAGCACCAGAATCCATCATCAACTCCGTAGAGTCAGCGTAACAAACTGACAGTAGTGCAGAGCAGGAATAGCCTGAAGAATCTGTATCTGAATTGTCGTCACTAGCCTTGACAACATTCACTTCCGAAGCTTGTACAGCTTTCCCTTTATTCTTCCCGGCTTTATCTTTCAACTTTGGGCAGTCGTTCTTCCAATGTCCTTTTTCTTTGCAAAAGCGACATTGATTCCTACCAATATTTCTATGGCCACCTCTTGACTTCGATCTTGAGCGATCACCTGGACGACGGTTTGGACCACGGCCGCGAACTGCTAATGCATCTCCCGATGCCTTCTCGGAGGGTTCGCCATCACTCTTCCTCAACTCATAATTCACTAATGCTGAGGTCACCTCATTGTAGCTAACCGTAGTTCTTCCATTTATCATAGTGAGAACGAATGTACCAAAATCATCCTCCGGCAATGAACACAATAGTAGCATCGCCTTGTCTTCATCCTCAACCTTGATATCTACATTGGCCATATCCGAAATTAGCTTCGTGAAGTTGTTAACATGCTCCCGAATGGAAACTCCCCTCTTCATCTTGAATTGATAAAACCTCTTCTTCAAGTGAAGCCGATTCTCAATGCTCTTCGTCAGATACTTCTCATTGAGTGTTTCCCACATTCTCTTTGCCGACGTCTCGTTCATTACGTCATAAATGAGATCCGGCATCAAGCATGACCGAATTACTCCACAAGCTCTGCTATTCATTTTCTTCCAAACCTTGTCATCCATATCAGCGGGTTTCTCTTGTAACTCAAGAGTCTCCTCCAAATTTTGTGCATCCAAGGCGTCCATCACTTGACACCTCCACAATCCGAAATTAATCTTGCCGTCGAACTTCGGAACATCAATCTTCGTGTTATTGATGCTCAGACTCTGTATCGCCTTAGAAAGAGACGATCCCGATGTGCTTGTTTCTCCCATGTTATCAATCTAATTCTTCAAATAAGAATCCTTCAGTGAATCCTTCGAACTAGCCCCAAATCCAACCCGGAGCTCTGATACCACTTGTTGTGCGCAGCGGAAATTTCGGCAGCACCTCCGGTGCGCAAGGTGCACAACAAGAGATTAGATCACAACGGAATTCTCGCTTCTCAAAGGAAACAAGAACCGAAAGCCAGATATCTCATACTGACCTGTCGAGGGATCCTACAAGCTATTACAAATCATGACAAGAACACAACTTTTACGTGGTTCGGCAATAGCCTACGTCCACGGGGCAAGGAGGGGGAGATCTACTATTAGAGGGAGAGATACAATTGGGGTTTATAATCTCACAAATTTAAACCCTTTCACAAACTCGCATATCCCTCACACAAATACCCTCTCAAAGGGGGAGACACAAAACCGAAAACAACTACAAAAGGACTTTGTGCAGCCGCAAAAAACCAAGACCTGCTTGCACAAATCAGCCGCTGTCAAATCCCTGCCTTTCACTGCTCCAAAGCCGCCGCACCCCTTTAAGCCTCTGACCTCGCACTCAATTGCACAGCCTCCTATGCACTTGAATCAGCCGCCCCTTTTTATCACTGCCTTGGCCCTCAAGAAAAAAAAAGCACGAAACCCTAGGCAAAAGCTCTTTTATAAAGCTATCTCGGGTGGGCCTTTGGGTTTCCGCATGGGCTTGATGCTATTGTCCGCTGGCTTTTTCCGCTGGCTTCACGTGATTACACTCACGTGTCCCCTCCACAAAGCCACGTTCACAATGGGGTATGGGAGCAGTATGGGAAGGTACGTGAGGGAGCAATTTGTGATTTGTATTGATTCATTAACTTAGAATTGGTCCGAAGACCTGTTCAATATATGATTTTCTATGGAGAACATTTATAGGACATTTTATTTCTATGAGATGGTAACTGCATGAAAAAAATCTAGATGACTCTGAATAGTGGCAATAGAAAATTGTTTTTTCTTGTTAATTTTACCAAAAATGGTCTCGACAAATCTAAAACAGAAAAAAGAAGCTCAAATTTCTCCATATCGTCTCTTTTACATTTTTCTTGTTTCTTTTTTGAGACTTGTACTATAATAAATTTCGAAAACAAAAAAGTTAACAAATTATATGATGATAATGATTAGAACTTGGTCTAGCAATTAGTTATTCAAGATAATTGGCATCATAGTAAGCAATTATCAATTAATAATAATCAGCATATAATCAAAACTCATAAATTATATGCTTCTTGGTGATTGCAAATTACCACACATCATTTTACCAAGATATTCTACTTCAAATTGTTATTACCAATTATCCCACCAAAGTATTCAGCTTTCAGAAGATTCTTCCATTGACTGACTCCATTCTGGAATTCTTCCCTAGGAATAAATTGGTAAGCGCTTATGAGAATTGAAGCTGAAGTGATAGACAAGAGAGCTTTCAGGTAACAGTCAAAGCAATTTAACTATACATAGAGAATAGTCATCTTTAGAACCAAGATTACAGTGCAAAAGAACAGTAAGTACCGAGTGTCAGAAGATTTAATTGTAAATAATATAACAGTTAATTCACATTTAGGAATCTCGTCACAAGAACAAATTTGTTATTTTTCAATGGTTATTGCGAATACTTCAAGCTGACACAATCAGAAGAAGCAGAGCTAGCTCCCTTAAAAAAAAGGGAAAAATGCTTCCAGCCCCCAAAAGCCAAGTGAACGTGCTTCCCACCCCTAAGACTTGGTCAATGGGTGTTTTACCCCTAAAAATAAAGTTTTTGTTCTCTGAGCCCCCAAAACACAAAACCCAAGACATTAAAACATGTGAAGACCATAATACCCTTCTCTCTCTCTTTCTTTTTTTATTAAAATATGATGAGGATTATTTTATTATTTTTTTCTCTCTCTCTCTCTTTATCATGATGTACCAAGAGGATCTTTAGATAGGTAACCCTAACAATTAAACCCGTAACCTTAACAATTAAACCCGTAACCTTAACAATTAAACCCGTAACCTTAACAACAAATCCGTAACCTACACAACAAATCCACAACCTTAACAACAAACCCTTAAGCTTAACAACCAACCCGTAACCTTAACAATCAACCCGTAACCTTAACAACCTCCCAATACAAACAACCAAAATAATAAAAAACGAAAATAATAAAATAATCCTCATCAATCATTTCAACTATCCTCTTGGTACATCATGATAAAGAGAGAGAGAAAACAAAAATAATAAAATAATCCCCATCATATTTTAATAAAAAAAAGAAAGAGAGAGAGAGAGGATTCACAACCTTAACAACAAACCATTAACCTTAACAACCAACCCGTAACCTTAACAATCAACCCAAAAAAAGCCTTACTCATGTCACTTGAGTTAACTTGGCACAATTGAATGAAAATTGTCACGGTACATAAACACAGAGACATCAAATTTCACCAAGCAATGCTACAACAAAAACAACAGAAAGAATTAAAATTAAAAAAAAAAATTGAAGGGATAGCTTACACCACTCGAAACAACACTAAATCATCGGTCAGCCACCTAACTCCTATATTAGACTCTGCTGTTTTCAGGCAGTGGAACAACACCATCAAAGAAATCTCCGAAGTAACCATTGGGCTCATGAACAAGCCTGGAGATTATATCTCTAAGAGTTACTACTCCTTCCAATCTGTCCTCCTTATCGACAACATAGATCCTCTGTATCTTTTCAGCATCCAGTTTCAGAATCACGTCTTTGATCGTATCATCACTCCTGCAGGTGATTACGCCATGCGAGTTTGGTCCGTCTTCTCCCTGCTCCTTTAGATAGCTTTTTACTGTCGTAATGAAGTCCTTTGTTGTGATGGATCTGCACATTGTTAAAAAGATAACGTGTTCTTCAAATATATGTCTCAACCTACGTTGATGAGCAAGTAAAATGCTCATCTATCCTCAACTAAGTAAATGAATCGAAACCTATTCAGCATCCTTGTGATATAATTTTTTACTGTCATAATAAAGTCCTTCGTTGTGATGGATATTCTAACCATGGAAAGAACATGACAGCCAAAATGACAAGTGACCTCCACACAGGAGAAGAAAAAAAAAAGTTAAGGAATAAAGTTCTGTTCGGAGTAAACTATTTCCACTATTCCATGCATTACTGTGGAGAAAAGCTATCGACCCTTATTTGATCTATATAGGAAACCCCCACATATCCTCTAAGAATACATCTTACTTTGCTTCATCTTAGTTTAGGTACAAAATCATAGCCTATCCAAACCCTATAACTGTACATGTGGAGATTTTCATCCTGCTGGATCTTTTGCTAAAGTATGGGTTTGGCTGCAAACAAAATGTGATGTTCGATGGCCTGACCTCCAACAGCACATTGTCTCTAAACTTCTCAACTTACTCCCATATTAAACATCGGCTGCATCTTGGAAAGTTCGAAAGGTTGGTTGTCGTAAAGTCTTTTCCAGTACACTAAAACCCTATAATTATGATAGGAATGTTCAGGTTTATAATTCTATATTCTAACATGTCACGTAGTTTGAATGCTAGTATGGGCAAAGAAGAAACTTTGTATGCGTTGGTACGTTTTTCAAGCCAGTCCTAAATGCATGTCTAGTGAGATTTGAACCCGACTATTTTGATATCATCTTAAACTCCCTTTCACTACACCAAAGCTTCAAAGTTGCGGTGAGAAATGAAGGTTACAATTTTATACTCTAATGGTATCAGGTTCCATCACCTAAGTTCCTTCAATGCAAAAACCTCTCCTGTAGCGAAAACTATTTCACCCCGCTCCCCCGCATGCTTTCAAATAACTATATTGGATACCATGACGGGCCTCTCCAGGCCTGTTCACGTTTCACTATCTTTCATCCTAGCTCTTTTTCTTTTTTTTTTATTTTTTTTTTATAAATTTTCCAGAGATTTATGACCCCTAATCTCGTCCAAGAGCATTTGAGTTATACATTATGTGATAAAATTGTCTTAAGCACAGTCCACTATAACAGTAGATTAAGACAGATATGATACTAGTGATATGATACTAGTAGAGAAGGAATCCTTCCTGAAGTATGATTAAAGTGTAAAGCAAGGATTGTGGTGCTATTCTTGTTCAATAGGATGTCCAAAATCATGAAATTTAGACAACGCAGTAGAAGAGTTTATGCATCAAAGTAAGAGAAGAACCATCCTGAAACGCCAGTAACTAAATACAAAGTGATATGCAGCCTGTAGAAACATATGAGGTGTCTTAGGATTAGCAGATCACATATTATGTAGAAGAACACAATAATATAGTTAAAGTAATCGAAAACTCGTAAAATCTGTATGAATCAAACTGATTAGAGTTTAATGCTGACCTGTAATCTTTAAAGATTTCTGGAGCAGTTAAAAAATATTGAACATCTCTGATGCTTATATTTCCTATTGCCTTCTTCCTGCTTTTATCAACAACTGGAAGTCCCCCAATTCTTCTCTTTCTAATCATCTGAAAAGCCTTTAAAACTGAATCCTCTTCACTCACCTGCAATGGAGGAGAAAGACGGTGGTATGTGATGATCAAAATAGTGAAGAGGGCAAAATTATAATTGTGACAAACACATGTTCATTAATACACGTATTTCCTTCGAGCATACATATCTAGCATCCGTAAAATGCTGAAGAACGCATTTCTAATTTTTTGATGCGGTTATGCTCAAGATAGTTGATTAGCATTGCATGCACACCAGCGAGATGCTATTCTGAATTTTAATCAAGAATTTTCTTTCGCTTGGTCTATGAGGATTGTGAATATTGTAACTCCTAAATAATAATCAATTGGTGCCGGGATTGTGCGACAGTTTCCAAAAAAAAAAACATACAGCAAATGAAGAAAAAATATTCTTTTGATGTCAGCTGGTTTTCTATTGACGATTGCACATTGATGATTGGGTTTAGAAGTTCATGTTGACAATTGATGTACATTAGGTTTTGTCACCAAAATAGTGCAGGATGACTCGGAGGGAATGAGAAATACGAGGAAGATGATCACCAAATGGGAAAATAAGGAACAATCCAGAGAACAAAACCACTAACTCCAACATAATTCTTGAACAATATCTGTAATCAATATTCAGTCTTTAATTAGCCAAAATTGAAACAAAGTATAAGAATTATCATAGATATAACTAAACAGAATTCTAATTCAGTTAGGATTAGTTCTAACACATTAAAAGTTTGCATATGTTTGTACTACAAATTTTTTTGGATATTTACATGTGTGTGCGTCTTTACATGTATGAATTTGTGTATGCACTCCCTTTCCTACTGTTATTGTTATCAGCTACGCTAACTATTATTTGCTTTATTATCATTTTGTTGGCTGTCGTGCCTAGTGAAATTTGCATTGACATATCAACATGCATATTTGTGTCCGCACCTTCATAATGTTGCATCTTTTCCCTGGTAACTTGTGCTGTGAACTTTACATATCTTTCCTCCTCCATTAAAAACAGAAGGCAACAGTTTTTCGCACGTATATTATTTTTATGAAAACAACTAAAAGGACAACAATATACAAGTTTCATTCATTTTTATTTAGCATTGTCTAACAATCGGCTTTATGATAGAACCATACTTACATGAATAAATATGAAGAAACTAGAGAAAGAAGAGCACCTTGATGAGCTTATTACTGATGGGAAGACCCAGTTCAAATAGCTTCTTCGTGCCCCAGTTTTCAAACCAATGAAGGCCAACACATTCTTCCAGCATGTGAACTACAGCAGATTGTGTGATCACATTTTCAATCTTCCCTTCACCTAAATCAACCACAGGAAGGCTTTTCATCCTATACTTAGAAAGTAGCAACATCATGGTCAGAAATGAATCGGAGCTCTGCAAGGCAAGAAACGGAGCCCAGCGGAAGGATCCTGAGATGTCCCGAACCTTCAATAGAATTATTTCAAAAAGAAACTTTAGAATAGTATGCATACTAAGAACAAATATTATTTGCTGCCAAAAGTAAATGTAACCTTTGTGTTCTTATACAAGTCTGAGGAAGTGAGATTTTCGAGAAAGCTTCCATCCACAGAAGAAGCTAGTTCCGTGGGTGCTTTCGTATGCTTAACAGCAGCGTTAACCCCATTATCAGTTTCTGCAGCAACAGTGGTACCGTTAACTTTAGATGCCGCTGTCCCAACTTTAATTTTGCTAAGTTTGCCTTCTAATCCTTCTGCAGCTATTCCTTCTGCAATAGAACTGTCCGTAGTCCCATTTGCTGCAATTTCAGACTGCAAAAAAGTAAAACCCAATAAAATCTTTGTCCTTTTAAAAAAACAAGCTGAGTAGATAAGATGCCAGAGAGGTCTCCCTGTTCTTTTATCAAATAAAGAACAAAAACGTTTAACATGAACTACCATTACATTCATATTACCAGAATTAAAGCATTCTCATAATATGCTAACTTGAACCTGGGATCAATTATCCTAACACGGGACATCCAGAGTTTATAAATAGAGTTTTTACCCACAGGCGGTATATCAATTTTATATTGGTATATCCTGAATTTTAAAATTTTAATTATATTCTTGTGTAAATCACTGTTTTAAACTACTTTTTTCACTGCCATTTTGTCTTTTTAATGTGAAAATGAGAAAAAGTACACATTCTGCTAAATCCGCTGCTAATCTTTCTGCAGTTGCACCTGTCACAGTGTCATTTGCTGAAATTTTGGACTGCACAAAAAGTAAATCCAGCTTTGCTCATAAAAAACAAGTTGAGTAGATTAGATGCCAAGCAGCGACCTTTCTGATAAAAAGACAAGTTGTTGAGTAGATCCAAACAGGTTTCACTTTTTCTCCAAATAGCAAACAAAAATGTTCGACATTAAGTACTGTTATATTCATATTACCTAAACTAAAACATTCATAATATGCTAATTAAAGCTGGGATCAATTATCCTAACAAGAGACATCCAAAGTTTAAGAGTTTGTAACCCCTACGGTATCTCAAGTTTATATTGACGTATAGACTAAATTAATTGCAGTCCTATGTAAATCACTACTTTAAACTCTTTTTAACTGCCATTGCAGATTTTTAATATGAAAAGTAAGAATAAGCATGTAACTCAAAGTTTATTGTAAGAACATTTGAGACGTCAAGAGATTTTCGTAGAACTAGAAAAAAGTAATAAAAAACCAGAGTTAAAATATAAATCAAGGAAAATTTTGGAAAGAGTCTACGACATGTCTCCTAGAAATGTCTGTCTCCATCCTATTTCCTGTCAACCTCAATATAGAAATGCTCACTCCACGATGCTGGTACAACTGATATATCAGATATATGTACTATATATCCTTTCGTAAATCTTTGTTGCATGGATACTAGTTGATGAAGACCCGCCCCTATAGGATACATACACGATATTTGATGAATATGTATTGAGACATCCTAGAGTTCATTTATAAATGTTTCAAAGATATAGTGAAGATGTGTCTAAGACTCATATTGAATAAGTAACTGATGAATTGCCAATTTCATCTCACTTGTAGATACATTCTATTTTTTAAGTTATTGTATGAACGTAGCACATTTCATAAGAAATACTTCAAGGAATATGATTGCACATGTAACTATTGATTTTTATAACTTGAGAACATTTCATAATGTATGATTTATTGTCTTCCTCTAAAAGTTATAGGTTTGTCAAATCATGTACAAATAATGAATGGTAACACACACCTAGAGACTCATACTTTATTGTGTGGTATCCAGGAGGCATCCTAAATTTTAGGTTTGATATATCCAAGTGCTGCTGTCATATCCATGTCATGCACCTATATTGGTGCCTACTGTTGTATAAGTATCACTGTCTATTATTCTTTTGCATATAAGTATCACTGTCTATGACAGTGATACTAATGTATAAGTATCACTGTCATGCACCTATACTGGTGCATACTAATGTATAAGTATCACTATCTTCTTTTGTTTGAATAGAGTAAGAATGAGCAGCATGCCTTTTAGATTTAATGTGATAAATCCATAACCGATTGCGCAAAAGAGACTGTTTAAATTTTCACTTTATATGATTTACCTATTTAAAATGTCAGGTGTTTGGGAGACTGAAGGAAAATAGGGGAAGGAATTAGAACCATTTTGGAGTCAATTTAATGTCAGACCACTGGAGCTTACAAATTGTGGACCTGCTATTCTACAAATTAGAGAGACTAGATTTGGGCTCACTTGTATGATAATCAAGGTGAAACATCAATCTTGAAAATTGACATGAATAATTGAGATGGATATAAGATACTGTAATGATGAGGAACAGATTTGACATTTTTCTGCATTCTCCGAATTTTTAGCAACCTGGAATGTATATTACAGATACTTCCAGCAGCCAAAAAAAACTGCTTAAGCCAAATTGCAAGTAAAGGAAGAACAAAAATGAGAGATAAGCAGAACTATGAGAACAAGAAAAATAACTTAAGAAAGTTATTGGAAGAGATCAACTTAATTCAGTCATCACAAGAAACCTGAAGTAAACAAATACACAAGTCAACCAACAAATATATTGCATCCATCATAAAAACTGAAAATAGATACCTATACTGCTAATAAATTTGAGAAGGTAAAATGTCTTTTTGTTTAACTTGAACATAACTTCAAGAATGCCTAATTATTAACTCATAATTAATGATAAAATAAAAAAAATATTTATGCAAGGACATGTCCTTATATGACTTTGCACTCTTAAAGTCACTTTCATAATTAATATGCAAGGTAATAGAAGAGGTAGTCACATAGTTTCAGGCACAGGTCTTCAGTTTAAAGAAATGCTGCAAACGGGAAAATTCACTATGTTAAATATATTTTGTTTCCTGTACGGTGGAGTATAATTTACTACGCCTGATGAAGAATACAATACAGGGATTCCAGAAAATGTTTCAGAACAATACAATTGTGCAAAAGTGCAAACCTGATGAAGAAGCCATACAGCGATTCCAGCAAATTCTACTACGCCAATGTATCTGTCAATCCAACTAGCATCTTCTGGTGCCTCTACATTCCGCACAGGTGCGCTCAGGATTTTGTGTTTAGATAAAAGCTCTACAGCATCAGCCAAAGTGGAGTCTGAAGGAATCTCAATAACTGGACAGAAGGTCTCCAAAGAAAACAACAATGTTATACTCCTAAATTAGTTTATCATGGATTTAAGTAAATTAGGAAGAAAAGTTATGAGAGATTTGAAACAATATCAAGAGATGAGAGTAAAATAATTTGAAGATTGGTTTCAATATCCAAATAAAATGTACGCAAGTATGGAGAAAAAAACTATGGCATAAGACAGTCAAACCGCCGTGCATGTCTTAAGGTAGCCAGGGTAGTATATTACAATTTAAAATGTCTTCAAGATAAAACCATGTCAAAAACCTCACATGATTCAGATTAAAATCAGGCTTGGAATTAAATGGTGGATCATAAGAACCTTCCCTAGAGTGTTTAATATGTATTAAACTTAATTATTGCTAAATAATAAATATAGACTTCATCATTTGCTATCTAAATGAATGGGTAAATGTTATAATTACTAGTCAAATGAGTATGCAATCACAGCCATGAAAGCACGAGCATATATTGACTGCACATCTTATTTAAACCAGAGATATATATTTCTTCTTGTTGTGTATCTTTGAAGAATTTACAAACAATCTTACTTATAGCATGTACGTAGGACATCCATTCTAAAAACCATGTTAGGAGTTAATCCCATCAATCGGATGCAAGAGCGCCCTCCACCAAACCCAATTCATAGTTCCCTCGGTTTCGCAAATCCAAACACAGTCTAGACTAGGCCACTCCCCGTTTGAATCCCAGCGGGAACCGCATGAGGCCAGGCATGTTCTACCGGATTTGGGTCCCAACGAATCCACAACCCAGAAAAGAAGGTATGGTCCAATAGTAAGATAGTAGGTTAAGGCATATTTTTTTCGAGAACTTCGACCCTCTTTTTATTTTATGTTTCTCTTTTTCAACCCTCTTTTTGCTGTTCATTACAAGACCTAAAATTTATCCGTATCGAAGACCCACTTCATCACACTGTATCGACCTACCTCTTTCTTATCTCAATCACCCCATCATCACTGATTATCATAACCTTTACGTCTATATTTTGATCGTCATAACTTTTTGCTTTTCTTTTTTTTCTTTTTTTTTTTGGAAAAGAATAATTACCTGCTAGTATTCTTAATTTCTCTAGGAATCATCTTTCTCAATACCTTTTCCTTCCCAATGCTACATTGATCCAGTTTGGTAAGGCAACTATTTGTCGTCAGAATCCCCACTCACAAAATATTTGCGAGAGTAAATTTGAATAATAAAAATAAATTATGAATTAAACAGAAGTAGAGGTTGTCCATGCTTCCTATAAACCAGCTAGGACGGACACGTGCAAACAGCGGCAATCATGGGAACACTGGTGTGCAGAAATATTCAAACATGCATGCCTGGTGTTGTAGATATCATTCGATGGTGTTACCATGGTGTTACTCAATTTCTCACAAATAATTAACCAAGCTATATGCCGAAAACGATTCAAGATGCAAACTCATTTGAACCATGAGATTGTATATATTTGTTTTTTTCATATGTGTCCAAATGCAAATCATTTGAGCCATGGATAAGATACTTACGCGTCATGCACACTTGAATCAACAACTAACCCAAGGGACAACATACATAGAAGGACAAATTTTTAAAACCATCCGATTTACAAAAAAAAAATTCGTAAAAAACGACCTATTCTAAAAATAATTGTCAAAACCGACCTAGTTTCAGTCGTCGTACTGAAACTGGGTCGGTTTTGACGAAAAAAAACTATGAAACTTCACGGGACTTGAAGTCCTGTGAAGTTTAGCACCACCTAACGTTAATAGATTAGCGTCATTATAGGCTGCTAAACTTCACGGGACTTCAAGTCCCGTAAAGTTTCATAGTTTTTTTTCGTCAAAACCGACCCAGTTTCAGTACGACGACTGAAACTAGGTCGGTTTTGACAATTATTTTTAGAATAGGTCGTTTTTTACGAATTTTTTTGTAAATCGGATGGTTTTCAAAATTTCTCCTACATAGAATTGCTGAATCGAGTGATTAAATGGGGGAAATTAATCCAATTCAAAGGGCACTAACATACTCCAACAAGAAGCGCCCATTCCACCTACTTCATGTTCAATTCAAAGACATACAACGGAGGGAATTGAAGAAAAAAATGAATACTACGTACCTTGAGAGGAAGGAGCCGGAGGAAAAGAGGAGACTGGAATGCTCTCGAAGCAAGAATTGAGCTTCTCAGAGGGGCTCCACAGTACCCGCATACCCACCTCCGCCTCCGGGCTCGAGCGAGCGCTACCCGGTTGGCTACTCGGACTCTCCATTCTCTGCCTTATTATTTTATTTTAATTTTATTTATTCTTCGGGTTGTTTCTTCTGTCTTTCTTCGCTTCTTTCTCTCTTTTTTTTCTTCTTCCGTTCTTGTTTGCTCCTCTTCTGATTAGTAGGAGAGGGGTGAGTTGGGGAGCGGACAAATGGAACTATTGCCGCTCTTTTCTCTTTCTCTCTCTCTCTCTCTCTTATTTGACCGTTACAGACAGCTGCGGCTAATAAACTGTTGCCCTCTCTCGCCCCCCATTAAAAATTAATAAAAAGAAAATATTTAGTATATTATCCAAAATGAATACATGAAAGTTTCTTCATAACCAAACTTTGACGGGAGCTGCAGATATATAGCCTCGTAAACTATTTCAATTGAGAAGGCACTAATGAACTTAATTTGGGGGTGTTTTAGATAAACTCCTTAGCTTTCAACTTCTGTCGGTGGATCCATCCGCTTCGGTCATTTATCACTCACCGACGATGCACCGTCCCTCTTTCGAATTGCGAACCTTTTTTTTTCTCTCTAAACATATTTTAATCATTTGCCATTTACAGATAGGGGGTAGAAGGTCCAGTTAAAAAAATTTAAAGTTTAGAGCTTATGTAAGATACTCCAAAGTTTAGGAGAGGCATAGTGGAATAAAAAAAACTTGGGGAGGCTTATCTACAACACACTTAAAGTTTGGATATTTATCGAAGTAAAAAAGTATGGGGTGTTGTATCCTGAGAATTACTAAGTCTAATGAGCCCTTGAGAGCTGGCCACGAATCATAATTAATTAGCCAAGTCCTATAATCTGAAAGCCCGACCCGAGTGAGAGCATCGTCAATTTCTCTAGCAGTCCAAGTCCAGGACTTGCTGGACTTGCTAAAAGAATCCAAGTCCGAAACGAAAGGTGTCTTCTACTCGGAGTTCTGGAACGACAATATAACCTATCAGCTTCACTGCCCAGTCGCCATCGCATTTAATGCATGGCTAGAGTTATTATGACTTCTCAAGCCGAAGTCATAATGATTCCTCAGATGACGCCAGCCCTTCAGCCATTCTATCATTGTCACATTAAATATAGATATGACTCATTTCATTGATTGTCGAGACTCGTAAAGTGCAGTCTGACTGACTAACATCACAAACCCGGTCAAACAACCAAAGTGCCCCCCAGAAAGTGCTCTGCAAAAAGTGGACAACCCTCCTATACCAAAGTACGCTGAATAAAACCCTAAATCTAGATTCTGCATTCTACAAGCTTGCTCAGCCAAGAAAAATCTCATCGATTCTCTAATGAGTGTTACTTGTGCAAGAATCTGCTTTCTCCTGATTAATCAGTCATTAGGGAAGATTAAGGGACTCAAAGCTCCTCCAAATATACATCAACCCATACAATTAACTTTCTTACATAAACATGGGGCATTATCTACAATACTCCCAAAGTCGAGGTGTCTGTGAAATGAACCCAATCTTTAAGTTTGATATTCTACTTGTTTTTCTACATTTTGATATAACACTATTTTTTTGGGCGTATTTAAATATCTGACAGATGTTGTTGAAAATTATTCAATACACATATCTCGAACTTTGTTTGTAACTTTTCAAATGCTTTTCTTACTCAATAACCTTAACATGAATAAAAACACGATAATTTGTAAACTCATGTAACAATAATGATGACAGGGCGAAGTGAGAGGAATATGAGTACTACGAGATCTAGATGTATATTTTTTTTAAGATTGCGAAAGTGTTTTAGAAGAGGGGAAAATGCATAGGATTAAGAAAAATATTTGATGCTTAAATTAAGCAAAAAGGCGAAAAAGTCATGACGAAGCTGTTTGGTCTGGGGACTCTAATAATGGGAAATTGGTATTGATAGCTTTTCAGTTTATGTGAACAGCACAAAAATTAAAAATAAGTAGAAGAATAATATCTAGTCCTCAAGATAATTAGTAACTAATCATATTAGGACTAGGATTCTATCTCTTATTTCATATATATCCCCCTAGAGGATTTCATAAAGTGAGATATATATAGAGATGCGATAAAAACTGTTGATAATAGTGTATTGTAGTGGGTTTTAGTCCCACATTGCTTGGGAGAACAAACCTCACACTCCTCTACTTGTATAAATATATGTGCACACTCAATATTCAATTCAAGGGAAATTTACCCAAGATTCTCTCTCTCTCTCTTACTTTAACATGGTATCAGAGCTAGGGCTATTTCCCTTTCAATAAAATTTTTAACGCTTTTGCGTTCTTTTGCCAAATCTTGGCCTTATTGCTTTGCAGCCGTTTAATGTTTTATTTTTTTTATTTTTATTTTTAATTATTTGGCGTTCATCTGCCAGATATTTTGGCCTTGTCGTTTTGCGGCCTCTTAACGCGTTTCGCGTTCTCGTTTAACCTTCGGGTTCTATTTTAAACCTTCGGGTTTCATTCTAACCTTCGGGTTCTATTTTAAACCTTCGGGTTTCATTCTAACCTTCGGGTTCTATTTTAAACCTTCGGGTTTCATTCTAACCTTCGGGTTCTATTTTAACGGCATTGTCGTTTCAAGACCGTCTCTCGGTCTCAAATTAACGGCATCGTCGTTTCAAGCCGTCTCTCGGCCTCAAACGAACGACATTAGTAACAGCATCTCGACATCTTAACGTCTCAAGATTGCTGTTATGGCTCCTTCAGAGAAGATTCCCAAACCACCTTTGCCCCTCAATGATCAAAGTGACTGGGCAGGGTGGTC